CTCAATCTCGATTTGGCCCTTCTCGTACTGCATCTTGCACCTAGCCAGCTTGTGCCCGGCTGTAGTGCGCCGAGAGAGCATAGGTTTCTTGACATTGGCAATCTTCCGCGCGGCATCCAACTCATCAGCCTGGATGCCAGTCTGAACAGAGGCCGAGATCGAGTCGCCGCACTTTTTGACCGTCTGGAGAGACTCCTCGAGGCGCTGGATGCGCTCTCGGAGCTTCTTGGCCTCGTCATCCTCATCATCGGTCGGTTTGTCTTCGTCGCCTCCGCCATCGCCGTGGGCAGCTACGGGGGCAGCCGACTTGAACACCTGCTTGCACTGCTCGAGCACACGCTTCTCGAAGGTGGCTAGCTGGGCAGCGAGGCCGGCATGCTTCGGGGGCCCGTTAACCCACGCCCCGCGGGGGCCGCGAGGAGGAGCAGCACCGCCACCACCACCTTGCGCAGCCCCTTGGGCAGCGCGCCGCGCCTTGATGATGATCGAGGTCGGGGCCATCTTGCCGCGCAGACATTGGATACGGGAAGCGTAGTTCTGATTGCGCCCACTGTTGGGGCAAACCCGCTTGGGCTCACGTGGTCCAGGAATGACGCCAGGTTCATCTCGGCGCTGGGCCATGCACCTCCTCGCAGAAAGCCTCGATGCAGCTCGGGCGCTGCCCCAGCAAAAGCCAGCATGAAAAAGAAAGGCTCCGCAGAGCAAGTTGAGTCGAGACTGAGCTCCGACAACCTGGGCAATCGAAGCGAACTTCGAAGTGAGCGGCCCCGCGCGCGCGGTCACTACTTCGAGCAGGCCCCAGCGGCGGGAGCCCCGAGTTGCCCTCGCTCTACCAAAGTTGGCTGGCGAAAAGTTGCCAGCGTGAGGATGGCCTCGACAAGCCGCCGACAAATGTCGAAAAGGCTCAAGAAATAAGACACTACCTGGGCGGTCCGCGGCTCGCAATATTGACCAACTCCTCGAGGCTGCACGGGCGCGCGGCAAGCTGCCAGCGGGGGGGGGGGGGGGGCGTCGGAGGCCGAGGACACGGGGTCGAGGAGGGCGACGCAGCCTTCAGCGCCCCACGCGAGCGATCATTTCCTCGCGCATCCGAAGAGCCACTAACCATATCATGCTGACGATTTGAATGCGCAAAACCAGTCAAGACAGTGCCTTGCATAGAAGATGATCTCAGACTTGTTTCCTCCATATATTGCAAGCGATGCCAGCGCGCGTCGAGCCGCCAGAAGCCTTCCTGGGCTCAGCAGACTCATCAGACCTCAATGATCCTCGAAGTCGTCCATCGCCATCAGCAGAATGCGCCTTGCGTTCGAGGCGGGGGGCGGCCCCCGGGCGTCTCTTTCCTCCGGGCCACGCACTCGGAGAAAATGCGAATGATCTCCGCGATCGCAAACGCCATCCTGGACAGGCCGTCGTCGCGGGCGCGGCCGACGCGGAAGCAGAGGACGAGGGGCCCATGTCCGTAACACCATAGACCCGAGCGATATTTGCCTTCTGCGTGCCCCACCCCCGCATGTTCGTCGCGCCCGCCTTCTCGCCCGCTTCCGCGATCTCCTCGCGCGCGATGAGGGGGATCTGGGCGCGTGCTGGACCATCTTCGCCTCTGGCGCAGGCTGCTTCGGGCCTCGCCGACTCTTCTCTCGAAGCCCGGCCGCCTCCGTCGCGAGCGCCCCCCCCCCCGCCAGGGGCGCCGCCCTCGCTGGCGGCGAGGCGCTCTCGATCGCGATCGCCTCGAACTCCGCCGCCGTGAGCTGCCTGATCTGGGGCGCGCTGCACAGCGCCGCCTTCGCGAAGACGGGAGCGACCTTGGGCGCGGCGTTTTGCGGCATCGCGGGGGGCTTGTCGATCGCGTCGGGCCCGAGACCGCAGGCGCGCCCGACGTTCTGCTACGGGCCCCACTGCCTCGCCCAGCCGGCGGTCGAGGCCGCCGCGGCCCCTCGCCGAGGTCGCCGCGGGGGCCAGCTGCCCCCCGCCCCCCCCCCCGCGCCTGACACGATCGCCACGGGTGCGGGAGGCGGCCGCTGAGCCTGGGCGGCCTCGTTGCCGTCGATCCCCATTTCCTCGAACGTAGGAGCGACCTCTCTCGGCGTCTACCTGCCCGGGGCCGATGCGACGCATCGGCGCCGGCGCGCGCGGGAAAACAAATTGCGGCAGCGCCGCAGATGGCCACGAAGAAATTGCGCAGCGACCTCCGAACACCGCCGCCGCCGTCAACGCCGAGAACGGGCAAACGCGACCCCGCGGCCACTCCACCGCGCGGGCACGCGGCGCCGCGCGAGCCAGACAGCGCCCGCGCAAGACCGACGATACCACCCGCCCCTGGGCGACGTGGCGAGCGCGGAAGGACTGGCGTCCATGCTCGCACTCGTTGGTCACCGCGAACGCGCGGGGGGGCGATCTACAAATTCGCCCCCCCAGCCGAGATGCGCCAGCGCGCAGGCAACGCCCTCCAAGTGGTGAGCGCCCTCCGACACGGGGCCCCCGCGGAGCCCATGAGCCCGCAAACCGATGGCGCCTCCGACGGCGCCTCCCGCTGCAGATGGCCCACGCAGACCAGGAGGGGGGGCAATCGCAGCAGCGCGCGCAGCAGCCCAAAGTGCCCCAGGGGCGATCCTCAAGAAGCGGCCCCGAGTTGCATAATCCAGAAATATAACTCGAACGTCGATCCGAAACCTCGCGCGCCCCTCGGAGCCCACGCATAGGAGCGCGCGGGTTCGCGTCGAGGGCGAGAGCGCCCGCGGACAGGATGGCGGGTTCTGGGTCGACTAGGCGTGAGCCGGATACAGCGCCCAGGTCCTGGGCGCGACGATCCGGGCGTCGGGGCCACCGCGACGCGCCCGAAACCACCGAGCCAAGAGCTCGATCCCGGAGGGAGTGACGCCGACGCGTCGAAGCACAACCACGTCCGAACACGCCTCATTCTGAATGCAAGATCGACCGCGCTCGTTTCGAATCGCATCCCCCCGCTGATCTACCGTCGCGCCCTGCATCCGACGCGCGCCGCCCCCGAATATCTCGCCGATTCCCCTGCGCCTCTGCGAGCACCAATGTAGACAGACCTGCGACCAGAGCCCCCTAGACCAAGGCCCCGGAAACTGCCCCCGCGAACTTCCAGACCCTTTTCTTGTCCCAGGAGCGGCTAATGGAGTAGCGCCCGCGACGACAAGCCAGGACGCGACGCCGAAGCCCTCCCTGGACGCCCCCGCGGACGGCAGTCTGAATCCTAAGGGCGCCTGGCCCTCCAAGGCCCCCGGGCCCCCGAAGGCGTCGGCGGCGCACCGGTGCGACCCTGGGCCCGCGAACGATGGGGAGCCGCGATATTTGCCAACGTTGCGCGCGCACCCGCTGCAACCCAGCTCCTGCCGCAACGAACGACGTTCATGTCTTGGCGCGTACTGCGCAATCTTCGCCGATGTGACAACGTGGGTCTCACCTGTGTCATCGGCGTAAAATCTGCCAGATAAACCCACCGGGCGCTGGAGAAAAGGTGCCCACGCCGCAGCAATCGTCTCACCCGGCCGCATCACACAGTCAGGGTCATCAGGAGGGACGGGGGGCACCATCGCCACCGATGCCCACTCCTCGCGCGTCCGAGGTCGAGCAGGCGCAGGCACTTCACGCCACGTAGCTTGACGAAGGTTGTCGAGCCAACGCTGGATCGGTCTGCGAAATGCATGGGCAAAACAGTTGGCCGCGGGGCTGTCGCGCATGAGCGTTCCGCACTCATTGTGCAGCGTCTGCTCCCTGTCGGCAGCCTCGATCGCGAAGGTGCCCGTCTCGTGCCTCTGGTGATAGAAGAGCTGGCCATCGTACCGAATCGTGTTCGCAACAGTCGCCTTCAACTCATCGAACTTCGAGCGGCCGAAATCATTGGACATGTCTTCCCTAGAGGTGATGGTCGAGACGCCTCGAGCCCGCAGTCGGCCCAGCAGCGCATCCTGGCAGATTAGCGCGCCCTCACGACCCCTGCCAGGCAACTATCCGTGCCCACGGCCAAGCGGCTGGTCAGCACATTCACAGCGAAGGAAAGCTTAGTGCCAGAGAACTCCCATACGGAATAATCAATGGATGTATTTCCGCGCGTTGGATCCGCTCTTCCCGTTGGCATTTCGAGCCCTGTCGTTCGCGAGTGGTGGCGCACGACTGGAGTACGGCCAACTCTCCGAGTATGGTGAAACACTTTCTGGCTAGCTTTCAGCGTCGACACGTTATTCATCTCGACAGCCTCGGTACCGGGCCCAAACCTGTCACCAGCTAGCCGATGTCGTGGGACAAAGACGTCCCGCCGAGGAGCCGCTGTTGCACCCTCCTCCTCCATCGTCATCGCCTCGTCCTCCTCGTCGCTTTTCTTCTTCGGTTTCCTGTAGCTGCCGTCGAATCGCCTGTTCGGGGCCAGCGCCATCCTCAGCAATTCGCACGGAACGCTGTGGCAAGGCGCCGCCTTCCGTCGAGCGGCAGTCTCCGCCAGCTCAGTCACCTCAGTCATGTCATCGCGCCCAACCTCGTCGTGCGCGTAGTTGTCGGACCCGAAGGACGGTGGAGGGGACACGCCCTCGAAGCAGGCGGCCTGGTAGCCGGCGTACTTGACAGCAACGGCGTTGAGGCCGCCTGCGGGGCCTGCCAGCGAGGAGGAGGAGGAGGAGGAGGAGGAGCCTCGCAGCACAGAAGAGCAAACATTAGGCCAGCTCCATGAACGGCTTTGGGGGCCATGGAGCACCAGGAGAGGAGGGAGGACAAGAGGGCTGAGGTGATGGGGACTGAGAGAGGAGGAAAGGCAGGGGAAGAAACAGGAACACGACCACAAGCACGACAGAAAACAAGGGGTCCTACACGTCAAGATGTGGCGGTCGTACGCGCCGGCTTGCAATACGCGGGCCGCCAGCGTAGGGAAGAGGGCGCTCACGCGCGACCTTGCGCGGGAAACTTGCGCCCAAATGTCCGCGCAGCGGACCCGTCGTCTGACGTCGACCAGATGTGGAGAGGGTTGCGGGCGGGCCGGCCTGGGTTCGTGCATCCCGCCGGCTGCGCTGCTCGAAGTCGAACGCAGATCTGGGCCTGGCGCCAGCCTGGCGAGCAGCACCAGTCCAAATCCCCGCTCCTCCTGCTCACAGTCCTAGTGACCATGATACTGGCAGCCATCAACATCGTCATCGTCATCAACACCATTATCGCTGTCGTCACTATCCGTCGCCACGCACCTTCACTATCAGCACGATCCGTCATCATTGATATCGCCATGGCCATCATCGATCATCGCAGCCTCAAGTCACACACATCACCACCTTCCTCATACTTGGTCCTCAAAACCATCGTGCTCGCCATCCGCACCATCATGATCATCATGAACATGAAGCTGATGATGATGATGATGATGATGATGATGATGAGCATCAGCATCAGCATCAGCATCAGCATCAGCATCAGCATCAGCATCAGCATCAGCATCAGCATCACCATGATCCTCATGATCATCATGATCGTGATCGTCATCGTCAGCATCAGCATCAGCATCAGCATCAGCATCAGCAACAGCATCATCATCATCATCATCATCATCATCATCATCATCATCACCATCACTGTTGACAGCACCATCATTCCCTCCCGCTGCGCGCGCCACGCCGTCCTCGGAAGTACCCCGAGCCACAGCTTTGGAGCCACCAACATCACCACAATCGTCGTCAGAGTCGTCATCGCCAGCGTCGTCGTCATCACCACCGCCCCCAGAATCGGGGTGACAATTAGGGAAGAGACGGATCTCTTCTCGATCACAGAGCCATGCGCTGATCGCCTCGACAGAACGAGGGTCATATCACGGGGGCGAACTTACAAGGGGGGAAGCGCCTCTAGAAGAGAAGCACACCAACCTTAGAGGTCTCCTAGACGGGGTCCGAGTAGGTGGGGACGGAGGATAGCGCCGCATCGCCGATGCATCGGCGATGCGTTGGCGACGTCGGCGATGCATCGGCGACGTCGACGTGAAGCGACACGGGCTTAACATCGAGCCGCATCGCCGATGCATCGTCGATGCGGCACGATCCTCCGACCCCACCTACTCCGACCTCATCTGGGAGGCCCGGATCGGCAGGGCGAGGGTCCTATCATGGGGGGGGGAACCCGAGGGGGGGGCCCGGCTCAAGGAGGGAGACATCGACCGGGAGCCGCAAATCCGAGCGTTCCCCTGTCGGGGAGACGCCAGACTCGGGATCGGGGGGCTCGGGTGGGCCTGACGGGGCTATCATGAAGATGACGAGACGCAGTCTCAAATTTGACGCAGACTCCTGCTGCAAGCATCTCACGAAAACTGGACCGTCGAAATCCAGGACGCGCTCGTCAGAAAGACTCGAGGCGAACCCAGCCGTGACAACGAGGAGTGGACAATGGCATCGGTAAATATACCCTGTGCTCCTCCACCTCGTCCGCCTCTTTCGCGTCACTCACGTCTTCCTCTGCCCCCTCCTCATCCTGTTCCGGTCCTAGTTATAGACTTGGGGGGCGGACTCCGAAACCCTCCATCGAGCGAACGAACGAGCGCATCGACACACAAAAAACGAGGAGGCAAACCGAGGACAGCGGGGATCTACCCTGAACTCGTCCCTTCCTTCTGCTCCTCCTCCACTTTCTCCTCCGCGTCCCCCTTGTGATCGTCCTCCTCGAAGCAGACGAGGGGCCACCCTGAAACCAATGATGCCCCGTCTTGGCAGCCGTCCTCGACATCATCCTGATTAAAGCCGTCCTCCTGCTCCTCCTCCTCCTCCTCGTCCTTCTCCTCCTTCTTCTCCTCCTCCTCATCCGTCTCCTATTCCTTCTCGTCCTCCTCCCCCTGGCGCGAAAGAACGAGATTCTGAGACCACTGCTCCATGGACCCCTCCTGCACCGCGCTCTGACCAGAATTTGCCATTCCGGCCGTGGCGTGTCGAAGAGTGGGCAACCGTTCGCTTTGTCTCCTCCTCCTTCTCCTCCTCCTCCTCCTCCTGCCTGTCCCCCTCCTGCTCCTCTTCTTCAGCATCCGGGGCCCCCCTCAAGCGGGCCCCGAGCAGGTGCGGTCGGAGGAGCGCGCGCATCGGCGCTGCACCCGCGACGCCGGGCTGGAGAAGATCGCGCCCGCGGGTGGCGCGTGCCGCGCCGCCGACTGCGTCCGCGGTGCGCGGCGCGACCCTCCCGCCCCACGGGCTGCTTACCAGCCTGGAACATATCCCTATCCCTATGCTGGGCATCTCCTCATCACGATGCCAATCTTAGGGATTCCCTCATTTTTTGAGGGCGCGTCCCTAAGATTGTCATCGTTTTTTGGCGTGTCAATCTTAGGGATAGGGATATGGTCGAAGCTGGTAAGCTGCGGCCCCACGGGTCGGACGCGCGCTCGCACGGGTGCGGCTGCGGCTCCGTGGGTCCGGCGCGTGGGCACACGAGGCCAGCGCCGCCCGCTCCGGCGGCGGAGGACAGCGCAGGTCTGGCATGCAAGCGGGGCCCCACGCTGAAATGCAGCCGCTTGAGTCCTTGTCTGCGCCTCCTCGACATATGAGCTCCCTCTCCTCCTCCTCCTCCTCCTCCTCCTCCTCCTCCTCCTCCTCCTCCTCCTCCTCCTCCGCCTCCTCCTCCGCCTCCGCCTCCTCCTCCTCCTTTTTCTCCTCCTCCTTTTTCTCCTCCTCCTGCTCCTCCTCCTCCTCCTCCGCCTCCTCCTCCTCTTTTCCTCCTCCTCCTCCCCAAGGAAGGGGTCCAAGTACAGTCAACCGGTATAAATGAGCATGCACGGTGAGGTTTGCGAGGGCCGTGGAAGGCAGTGCCGACACGTTGCGGGCCGGACGCGGCCAGCGAAAGCGGCAAAGGATGGGCCAAAGGGGAAGGATGCAAGGGTAATTAACCTTGGAAAGCTGCTCATCCTTGCTATGCGGGCTGACTGTAGATGGGGTCGGAGAATCACGCCGAACCGCCAACGCATCACCGATACATCGGCGATGCATCGGCGCCGTCGGCGCGGATAAGATCGGGCTCCACATCAAGCCGCATCGCCGATGCATCGGCGATGCGACGCGATCCTCCGACCCCATCAACTCGGACCCCACATGGGAGGCCCAGGCTGTTGCAGGGCAGTGTAGGACCGCCAGCGAAGTCCGAACAAGGAAGAGATCTCGACATACAGTGGAGGCCAGTTCACAAGAAACAGTCCACAAGACACCCAACCTGAGAGCCCAGGACGTCCATCGATGTTTGGTGTGGGAACGCCACGCCTTCCGCAGCAACGAAACCCAAGACAACCAGGGCACCCTGGAAGCAAGCAAGGTTTGACCAGGGACCGACCGTCCCGGCATTCCTGTAGGCATACCACGGAATGTTCTTAGAACCCGAAAATGTTCGAATAACAAAAACGATGGTCTTAGAACATAAGCCCGATGCATTTAAACAAGACGGTCTCGGCCAGAAATGTTCTAAAAACATTTCGCGCAGACCACACAAGGTTCTTGACACATTCCTTGGTGGGCCTATAAGGCGAGCCAGGACGCCTCGCCACGCTTGAACTGTAGGACCCCCCTCCCCGGGCCCAGCGGAGGGGACCGGCCCCCTCTGGACCGGGGGCGTCGCGCCTTGGGCGCCGGCTCCGCGGACGCCGACGGGGCCTGCGCCGCGCACGCGGGGGAACAGAGCGGCGGGGGGCCGAGCAGCGGCAGGCTCCAAGCGGGGGGGGGAAAGGGTAGGGCAGCAAGGGGCAGGGTAGAGAATCAGCTCACATGCAGTGGGGGCCCGACCGCGAGAAAACTTCCGCAAGAAGCCCAACCCTGAGACCCCAGGATGTCCATCGATTTTTTGTGTGGGAACGTCACGATTGCCATGGCAAAACCATCGAAACCCAAGAAGTCCAATCCAGGGCACCCTGGAGGCAAGCAGGGTGTTTGTTGGCATGGATCTCCACTGTAGCGGGTTTTCCTGGCGCCTCCTGGCGCCAGGAGGCGCCCATGTATGATGGCGGAATGGGCCCGGCGGCGGGGTGAAACCGACGGCGCGCAGCAAATTTCGGACTCCCCATTTCCCTATCCTACCCGTTCGTCGGGCCCCAATCCAGTGGGCACGCACCGACCGACTGCTGCACTGCAGGGCAGCCGTTTTTCACTTTCGCAGCGAAGGCCTTTTATGCTCGCCGTCGTTCGTCGTCGCTTGATAGCCCAGCCCCCCTGCTTCCCCCCATGGCCCCCCAACTGTCACCGAGCCGCGAGTTCCCTGCGCCTTGTCTCCCTATGGTGGGTTCAAAGAGCTCCCCCTTCCTCATCCTGCCTGTCCTGTCCCTCGCCGCCCCCTCCTGCAAGAGCCGGGGGACGCGTGCCACTTGCTTACAACGAACTGGTCACAATGGAAAGTTGACGCACTCAAGAGTGGGATCCGCACGTATGCACACTGAGGTATCTGGGCCTTGTCCCAAGGTTTTTCGAAGAAGCGCCACAGGATAACGTGCAACGTATCACTTCCAGCTGGATCTCCAACCGACAGGTGTAGTGTATGTATATATCCGCCGCTCCGGCGTGTGAGTTTAAGAGGGCAAGGGGGTGACTCGGGTGGCTCTGCCGGGGTAGGGGGAGGAGGGGGGTGGGTTCCAGTGGCGTGGGTTCCGGTGGCGTGGGGGGGGAGGGGTCCGGTCCCCCGTCCCGCCTGTGCACAAGGGGAATTAGGGGAAGAGGGGGGGGGGGGTCCCGGTGGCCGGTGTGACTCTGCCGGGGTGGGGGGTGGGGGGGGGTTCCGGTGGCGTGGGTTCTGGTGGCGCGGACGGGGGGGGAGGGTCTGGTCCCCCGTCCCGCCTGTGGACGGGGAATTGGGGGAAGAGGGGGGGGGAGTCCCGTGGCGTGGGTTCCGATGGCGCTGGGGAGGGGAAGGGGGGGTTCCGTGGCGCGTGAGTCTGAAGGAGCTCCAGCTACAGCCTCGAGGTTGAGCTTCAGCCTCTGGGGGGGTTGCCGGGGTGGCTCTGCCGGGGAGGGAGGGGAGAGGGGGGTGTGCGCGTGTGCGCGGGGCAATAGTTGTCCGTGCACGCGAGAAAGAAATTGGGGAAAGAGGGAGAGAGACATGGAACGGGACAAAAGCGGAAAACGGAGAACAAATGGATGGGGAAGACGAAAATGGCGGTGACATGCGTGTTTGTGTGCTGTGTGCGTTTGTGCATAATGCGTGGTGTGTGTATGTGTGTGTGTTGCCAGCGTGTGCGTGCTGCATGTGCCTTCGAAAGTCGCGCGCGTGTGTGTGTGTGGTGTGTGTATATGTGGGTGTGTAGTGTGTGTGTGTGTGTGGGTGTGTGTGGGTGTGTGTGTATGGGTGTGTGTGTGTGTGGGTGTGTGTGGGGGTGTGTGTGGGTGTGTGGGTGTGCGTGGCTGTATGTGGGTGTGTGCGGGTGTGTACGTGTGTGGGTGTATATGGTGTGCGTGGGTGTGATTGGGTGTGTTGGTGTGTGTGTGTGGGTGTGTGGGTGTGTGCGTGTGTGTGGGTGTGTGTGGGTGTGTTTGTGTGTGTGTGGGTGTGTGGGTGTGTTACGTGTGGGTGTGCGGGTGTGTGTTGTGTGTTGTGTGTTGTGTGTTGTGTGTGTTGTGCGTGTGTTGTGTGCTGTGTGTTGTGCGTGTGTGTTGAATATGTGTTGAATATGTGTTGTGTGTGTCTCTTGTGTGTGTTGTGTGTTGTGTGTTGTGGGTTGCGTGTATTGTGTGCGTTGTGTGTGTTGTGTGTTGTGTGTGTTGTGTGTGTTGTGTGTATGTTGTGTGTTGTGTGTTGTGTTGTGTGTGGGTTTGTCTGTCATGTGTGGTGTGTGTTCTATGTATTGTGTTGTGTGTTGTGTGTTGTGTGTGCTGTGTGTTGTGCGTATGTTGTGTGTGTGCGTTGTGTGTGTTGGGTGTGTGTTGTGTGTTGTGCGTTGTGGGTGTTGTGTATTGTGTGTTGTGTGCTGTGTATGTTGTGGGTGGGTTGTGTTGTGTGTTGTGTGTTGTGTCTTGTGTGCTGTGCGTTGTGTGTTGCGTGTGTCTTGTGTGTTGTGAGTTGTGTATTGTGTGTTGTGTGTTGTGTGTTGTGTGTATGTTGTGCTGTGTGTTATGTGTGTTGTGTGTGCTGTGTGCTGTGTGTGTTGTGCGTGGGTGTGTGTTGTGTGTTGTGCGTTGTGGGTGTGTGTGGTGTGTGTTGTGTGTTGTGTGTTGTGTGCTGTGTGTGCGTTGTGTGTGCGTTGTCTGTGCGTTGTGTGTTATGTGTGTGTTGTGTGCTGTGTGTTGTGTGTGTTGTGTGTGTGTGTTGTGTGTGGTGTGTGTTTGTGTGTTTGTGTGCTTGTGTGTGTTTGTGTGTAAGAGTTTGTGTGTGCGTGTGCGCGTGTTTGTGCGTGCGTGTGTGAGCGTAATGTCTGCGAGCGTGTGCGTGCGTGTCTGTCGGCGAAGTGTCAGTATCGCCGCCCAGTCTGGGGGGCACCCCAAGCGACCCGGATCGACGGCACTGGCCGAAGGCCACTACAATATATATACTAAAACACGCGCGCTTCGCGCGCTTAGGTTCTAGCCAGCTCAACTTGTAGTCTAAAATGTTTGGCATCGGAGGGCACGTCGTGCCCCTTAGGAACTCGGAACTCCACGTGCGGTCCCACAAACAGGCTTGGCTTAGCGTCCCCCCGTCCATGTCGGCACACCCCTCACAAGGATCGTGCCCCACTGAGAGCTCCACCTACGCCCCCAGAAGCAAGGCTCGCATAGTGGCACGCGCCTCACGTGGATCGTGCCCCGCATGTAGCTGCACTTGCGGCACCAATAGGAAGACAAATAGCGTCGCCCCGTTCACTTCGGCACACCTCTTACCCGGAACGTGGTCACCAGAGAGTTCCACGGACGGATCCAGAGGCAAGGTTCGCATCCCGCCCTCCCGCCTGTTCCAGCATACCTCTCACACGGATCGTGGCCCACAGGGAGCTTCACATACGGCCCCAGAGGAAGGGTTCGCACTGCGCTCCCCACCTGGCCATTGCGGCACACCCCATCACACGGATCGTGCCCACAAGGAACACCACCGCCAGATCCAGAAACAATCTTCGTACAGCGCCCCCCACCCATGTCGGCACACCTGTCACACGAACTAGGCCCTAAAAATGGGGCTCCACCTATGGCACCAATGGGCAGTTTCGCATGGCGTCCCCTCCCCATGTCGGAGCATGCCTCGCACGGGTCGTGCCCCGAGGACGTTCACCTGCAGTCTCAGTGGGCGCATTCGCGCTGCCCTTGGCGCAGATCGCGCCCCACAAGGAGGTCAGCGCACCCGTGCACGCGTGCTCCGCAGCAGCCATCTTTCCGCATTGCCCCGCGGCGCGCAGTGTAGGAAGAGAGACACGCACCCTCCACCACACATGACTGCATAAGGATGGGTCCGTCGCCAATCCACTTGCTTGCTTGCTACAAATACTGTGCCTGAGTTGTTGGACAGAGGCTGTACTCAGGGTCTCTTGGCATACTTCTCGGGCTCCTCATGGGGTGAGTTTTGAAGCCTCTTGTGGCCTCATGTGGGTCCTGTAGGGGATTGTTGGAGCCTCTTCTGGGACCCTTGGGGGCCTCTTGACTCGCTGCTGCGGCCTCGGGGGCCCTCTCGTGGCGGGCCTCGTAAGCGGTCTTGGAGCCCCCTGTGGGCGCCTCCTGAACCCTCTCAGAAGCCGTCAGCAACGAATGTGGTTTCTTTGGGCCTTGGCGGCGGTGACCTCGCAGCCTGTTTCGGGCAATTATCAAACCCTTCTGGCCCGTTTTGCCGGGCAGTGGCCGTCTCGGGGCTCCTTTAAGGGCCTCTTGGGGCTCTGTTGGGGCTCTCTTGTGAACCTGTTCTGGGGTCTCTCAGGCCGTGTTGGGGCCCTCTTGGGCGGTTGGGGGGTCCTCATGGGGGCCCGTTGGGCCGTCTTGGGGCGGTTGCTGGGGCCTGTTGGGCTGTCCTGGCCCGATCTCGGAAGCCGTCAGAGCCGTTTTGGGCCGCTCTTGACCCGAAAAGGCGGGAACCTCAACACCCGTCAAAAGCCGATGGGAAGCTACAGTGCGTTGCCATTATCGGGGGTCCCCCTGGGGGGGGCCCTGGGGCGTATTGGAAACCTCGTGAGCCGTCTTGAGGACATGTGGGGCAGTCGCGGGGCCTCTTGGGCGCTCTCGGGCCCCTTTTGGGCCTCTCTTGGGCGACATCGAGGTTACCGTTGGCAGTATTACGTGCCTTTTGGGCCGTCCTGGGTGGCTCTTCGTCGCTCGCGAGGCTCGCTTGGGCCGAATGTGAAGACAATGTTGAACGCGAGAAAAGAGCCTGCACCCCATATGGAAGACCCAGAGGCCAGGATAAGGGGGACCCGGGGTCCTACCCAGACATGTTATGCACACACACACGCACACACACATACACACTCTCTCTCTCTCTCTCTTTCCTTTTCTCTCTCTCTCTTTCTCTCTCTCTCTCTCTCTCTTTCTCTCTCTCTCTCTCTCTCTCTCTCTCTCTCTCTCTCTCTCTCTCTCTCTCTCTCTTTCACCTACCCAATCACACGCACATATCGATATGTATATATATATGTCTCGGATCGGACCCCTCGGAGGCAGCAGTTCGGATGTCCCGGACGCTGGGTGCTGCTGGGAGCGGGCTACACCCGAAATTAAAC